ATGCGTAAAATATGTCTTTTTTATTATTTAATTTTTATATTTTATTACTTAAATTAAATAAATTACTCAAGAATTATTAATTATTGTGCTTTAGTTTTTAAGTGTTCAACTAGAAATATTTGAAATATCATTACATGTGTATGTATTGATAAATGATTAAATATTGTACAATGTACATTTTGATTACTATCGTAGTTCCGAGAATTCGTAATCGATGGGCGCAACAACGTGATAACGGAGTACACATACTAATGTCTATTTACTACTCACACAACGACACAGTCCAAATGTACTGTCATATAAAATGCCTAAATATTACTCCTTAAAACATGGTATGCTCCAACAGCCTTAACTATAGAATATAATACGATGTGCACGCATCAATACTGATGGAAAACCCCTATAGAAAACTTACATAGGCAATACCTTTTGCACCTAGGAAGAGAATCTTATAGCGAAACAAAGGAAACGTTACAACCGCGTTTTTAAACAACAATCGATCTGTGCGTGTTGTATGACACAACTTGAACAACAATATCCGTTAAACGATTACGAACATATTTCTTTCCTCGGTTCGACCGATTGTTGAAAACAAAAGTTTTCAGTCCGAATGTTTCGCCGTGTACGTGTTCATACCATTGTTGTATTATCATAATGAGCGGCCGTTAGTTTGCCAAACACGCGTTGAGACGGATACGAAACACTTAATATTGTTATAATACATTTCACGTCAATACTTTTAACGGAAACGAGTGTCTGCCGCTAGGGAAAATCTTTTTCTATCGCCGAACGGAGGACGACAATCGGTTGCGAGAGTAGTGACCACCAATATTTCCTCCCGCGAACGGCAGTGCGCGTAAACATCATCGACTCTTTCGTATCTCATACCATGAGGACGACGGTTAAAAAAAGGGTTTTGACGGAAGGGAGTGTACCAAGCCCAGGGATCGTTTGGAAGGGAAGGAAATACATTACATCAATTGCATCATAGATCAATCGGAGCAGGCGCCGGCACGCATTGGTGACCAACTGCCCGCGATTTCAAAAATTATGTGTCGAGTATGTATTGATGGCCATACCCCGAGGACCAGTGGCCCAAGTACCATGTAAGCGGTAGACACCCTTTTTAAAGCAAATGATCCACGGGCTCTCATATATGCTAAACCGGTCCCGCGCGCTAGTTGCCGAATCATTCGTCCCGTGGTCCACTCGTACCGGTCGTCGGTGGTCCGCGACGGTGGCCACCCGACCGCCGGCCACCCTGACGGATTCGGAAGAACGGGCCGCCCGCCGCCGTCCAACCGCGCGTCGCGTTCCGTTCGTGTGACAGCCGCTCGCCCGGTCCAAGGTGCACGTCGACCAACCGTCTGTCCGGCGCAGAGCCATCTACCGGGCCCGTCGGGCACCGTCGCTGACGCTAATCGTCGCTTCGCTTCGCTAGCCGACCACTGCGTCCGTGATCGATTTCCGTACCGCCGCCGCTGCCGCCGCGCGAGTCGTACTAGTGCCATATCGCTCTCACGTGTGCTTCTCGACGCGACACGTATTCCGAGCGAAACGTGTTCCCGTTGTCCTTGTCGGACGGGGAAAATTCATCAACGTGGCAAGCTTACCGTGGATCAACGGGAGAGGAGAAAACCTGAAAGGAATGTGGCCAAAATAGCGAAACCACGAATGTAAAAATCGCGGATTCATTATGACGAAAATAAAAACGGCGAATTTTAAAAAAAGAGCGAAAATATACGATCTAGTGATAATAATTTTGAAAAACAAAACATTAGTGAAAAATCATATGCTATACCATTTACAAAGTTATTATTATCATAAGTATTATAATTTGTAATTAACAAACGAAGTCTTTCAGCATAGTCCTTGAACTTTTTTTTATCTCTGGTTGTTCTGAAGAATTATACTGTTCTCGTTTTAATTCTTTTAAGTATCGAATTTTCTCTATTACATCAATAAATTAAAGTAGGGTAGCCTCCTCCTAAAGAATATTTATTATATTATTTATTATTATTTATTTTGTTGCTATTATCAATTCGCGATTTTCATATTCGTGGTTAATTATTTCGATATTTTGGCCTAGAACCAACTTGAATGGATAAGGAAAAAAAAATGTGAGCCGCCGCGGAACGCTTGACAGCTCGAAACTTTATTGTATGGAAAATATGCCGGAAAGGATGATTTATTAAAGGAAATAAATATGGCGAAATCAAAAAGTACGGCGTAAATAAAAACAGAATATTTAGATTTTTTACATTTCGATACCAAAATTAAAAAATTAAAAATCACGCACCAGAAACGTATACGTTAGAATCTGCTATAATTATTTCATTGATTATTTATAGTAATTCAGTAATTTTCAATTTAATAAACTCTAAACCTTATATAGGTAGGTACTGCAATAGTCGGCCTCACTCTTGTACCGCGTCATAAGATGCGTCACATCAAGACAGGCATAAACTGGGGGCAAGAGGGGCCATTTTTTCTTTGAACATGGGCAATCAAACATATTTCTTGATTAGAATTTAATAAAAAAAAAAATACATTTTACTAATGAGTACTAGAATTGATTATAAATGTGATTATAACTATACACGCCACGTGTCAATGTCAATTTGGTGTTAATTTTTTATCATCAATTGAAAACATCGTTATTATTTAACATATATCATGAAATAAAATAAAATTTCAATTGTTTTATATTTTAAGCCAAGGTACCAACAAATTAATGTACAAGACATCTCTCAAAAGTAAGGTTTCCGAAATAATTATGATAACATTTTTTTATATTTAAAAAATGTTTTACGTGATTACATTTGAATTGTTTTCCACATTATCGCATTATACTCGTACATGGATACATTTTTCATAGTATTGCGTAACTTTTGTTTTCAACTTTTATCTGCTGTCTCAAAATTTTTCCTCCCAAATATTTCTTTAAGTTCAAGAATTGTGATAACCAGACGGGGTAAGATCTGAACTATAAAGTGGATGAGAAATCACGTCCCAATCAAACAGATCGAAGAAAGCTTTTGAGTCACGGACAAAGTGAGTTATCATGCAAGAGAAAAACCCTGACTCCTGACTTCCTGAAAATTCCTTACACCACTTTCCCATATACGAGAATTTTGCAGGCATACAATCCATACCATTTGTCTCGTAAAGTTTCCTATGTATGTATATTGAAGATTTAGCCTTTGGATTTAAAAAACGAATAGCAGCGAGGAGTTCGCATTGAGTATACACGGGAAAAGAGATGGCTGCCGCCGACGTAAAAGCGTCCATCGTAAACGCGTGTCAGACACAAATCAAAATTCGGATTAAGTTGAGCCGTCAACTTTCGTTTGAAAGGGAAGGAGCTTCGTGATACGCAAATGTTATAAACTTTTGGAAAAAATATTTATTTTCAGCGCTAGGAATATGGGGACATTATTTTTGTGACGCCTTGTACCTACCATTATAAATAATAATCTAAAATAAAATTTCATTTGTTGCATTTCCAGCAAAACACGGAAACACGCCTATATTAATGACCAAATTCATTGGGAAACTATTATAGAAACAAATTATATATATGATAATTTTAAAATGTACAATTCTATAATATTATTATTTCTCATCTCATCACGTATATATTTGTTTATTGGAAATAAGAATACATTAGGAGACATATTCTTCAAACATCGAACCGGCAATATTTGTATAAATACATATACATATGTTTGTGTGTATGTATATATTTTCTAAATCTAAACTGTATATTGTATTTAACTTAACATACTACACACATATAAACACACA